AAATATCACTGACAAGGATTTGCTAACCAAATGGGATCAGATTTTTAACATTAACTTAAGAGCTGTCGTACAACTCATTCACCAATCGGTGCCATATCTGGAGGAGACTAACGGAACAGTTATTGATTTGTCGAGTTTTGAAGCCACTCGTCCCGTATGTATAGATTTACATTAACTACACATTTCAATAGTCAAATAACATTACAAAACATATAAATCATATACATTTTGTAAACACAAAATAATAATTTAAATTTGATTTTGATGTATGAACCAGATGCTAAACTTCTTGGCCTACGATAGTGCCTATGCGGCTACGGATATGTTGGTAAAGGTAATTGCCATGGAATTAGGACCTAAAGGCATACGAATCAATGCAATCAAGTATTTATACATTTCAAATAATTGTTGAATTAAATACTAATTGTTATTTATAATGGTAAAAGGCCCGGGTTCATTATGCATCCAAACATAACGGTGCCAAAGGACAAAGTGGTCCAATTGATAAGGGAGACACCACTAGGTAGACCTGGTGCCCCCTTAGATATCGCCAAAGGGGTGGCATTTTTGGCCTCAACTGACGCTCAGTTCATAACGGGTGTCACTCTTATGATCGATGGCGGACTCGTCTTCAATGTAACGCCATTTTAAATGACATTTAAATGAATTCATTAAAACAAAACTTATTATTATTATTATTATTATTATTATTATATGTTTATTAATTTAATTTTAAATTTGTTACTAATGATTCATTAATCAATTTAGTGCTTTACAATTTGCTTCAAAATTAAATAATGATTTTTAAGATGATTGATTCATTAGAAAATTAAATGAATTATTGTTTGATTCCTATTAAAAAAAATAATCTATAAAATTCTGATAATAATTGTTTATTAATTTACTGCACAGACCTGTATTCAATTTGTAATTGATGAATCTTAAATGATGATTAAATTATACTTTTATAATTAAGTTATTAAAGCTATTTAAGTGATTTAAATTGATAAAATAATATTAAGAAGGAATTTCCCGATACGGAAAGTTGGCCATGCTAGTTTAATTTGTATGTGCATAAACTTAATTATGTCATTAATAAATTTGCATGGTGAAAAAGTGCGAATCCGGCCGATAAGTTGGTCAT